GGTTGAGTGTAAATAACCATCAGCATTTAGTACTCGATACGATAGCTGGCTGGATCCAGTGGTGATATTAGTAACTGCCGAAAGCTTCACCAATGCGAGTACTCAGCTACAGGATAGCAGGAGTGGACGAGGAGCGCATACTATGAGGCCATCATATTATGAAAACTATCCGTGGTTAGTCTCCTACTTTCAATTGTAGGAAGGGTATTTGACATTGTGCTGCTGTTGTTTCGATGTTTCGGCATAAACTATTTCATGCCGACACGATGCGGGGTAGTGCCTCTACTTTCAGTCGAAGATTTGACTGACTTCTGGACTTTTATCGGTAGCAGTGAGCACTTCGCTTTCATCACCAGCGACTCCACGGTTCCTCACAACGCGGACGACAGAAAAGATCGCTAGCCGTTATTCTACACACATACACATGTTGAGTACTAGCAGCTGCGAACCGACGGGACGAAGAAGTCCGGGAGTTGAGCATCGATGCGTGTAATACTGGTGCGCGCGTTATTCATACCAAAGAAACGTGAAAGATAGACCTTTGGTGGGGCGTTGGTGGATCCGGTCAACAAAATACCCTGTCTAGACGGCTAGCGTTTGGATAGCCGGAGCAAAACGGCGTGTACTACCTGTACTTCGCTCTTCAGCAGACAACTTCAGCAGCAACATACAAGACTAACTGTTGTTTAAGTTTAGACTTAGACTAACTATTGCTAAGTGCCGGACACATACGTATATTGATAAATTCAGTTTAGAGGCAGCTCGAACATGAAAAATCTGTATTGTTCAATTACTTTCTACCGCCAGGATGACGATAGCTAGCACAATTGGAAGAGCGTCTATAGGTAATATTGTTAATGCTTTATTTATATGTAAAACTCGATTTAAGTGATTACTCTATTTGCTTCCAAACACTTTCTAGGTACGACAATTGACAACTGATCTTGGAGTAGAGATCACTAGAGTATCGATACCTCAACCGTGTGCATAGAAGGAAACCCGTAAAACGCCAGGCACAAGTCTCCATGCACGATAATGAGACGAATAATATACAAATATATCGAATATATGATATTTATCTATGGCAGGAATTGCCGAGTTGTGGTATCTATCGTGACGTAGTCTTCTTCCGCCGAAATAGCACATTTCCTGTCTTTGGAAAACTCTTATAAAAACAACGATAGCGATATCGTGGAACGGCTAGGAACGAGAAGCTGATCTTCTCGATTACGATTAAGTCGTCTTCTGTCAATTTAGCATGGCAGGCAGCTGTTCTTCCTTTGATGGCTCAGCGTCTATTTAGAAACTAAAACACACAACAGTTTGCTGTGACTATTGTTATTACGTACAGTTTATAGAATTGATTACAATATGTATGTACGCATCAGTTTCCATGAACCGCTACATAGCCTATCAATAGAGAGTAGGTACTTCATTTTGTCACTCCGATATGACGCTGCGATCACGATGAAGTGCGCATGCATGAGGTATCAAGTGGTCATCTCTTATGTCAGGTAATATATTTCTTAAATAGATTTGATTTGTTTGAAAGTGCGAAAGATTCTCTTCAGGTCCGTTACCTGAACAGAGTAGTTCGTTATCTGAATAAATATGACTCAGTAATGGTGGAGACGGGCCGTATTTTTCTTGGTACTCATTTGTGGGGACATCAAGCTTGCTAGCCATATGGCAAGTTGGTCGAAAGGAAAGCCTTGACAGCTACGCATTTGTTATCCAGAGAGAAACACAAATGAAAAGGGTAAATTGAGGTTCTAATCACAGTCAAATTTTGTCTATCTACACTGTCGAATCTCTGCCGCTGCAAAAATGAAGGAGACGATGAATAGCTACACTTCGACGACCCTCCATGTTCATAAGTGGAGATGCCGCGTTTTTTTGAAAGCACGTTTTGCTCACCACGTGTCTGCTCAGCTTTGTTGTTTGTTCAGATGAAACACCTGTTTTCCTTTGAGTAAGTGATTGCTAGGCGACAGAAAATGAGGATTCATACAAGAATCGTTTCTATTCATGCGGTTTACGATTAGCCGTGCTTCAAAATACCTTCCGATGTTGTTCCACATAGAATTATAGTCGGTCGCCTTTAAATGGCTCGTGTCCATTAGCAAGACAAGATAGATTCCAAAAGTGAATTCCCTGATTTTCTTCCACATAAGGCTGGGGCAACTGTCGTTAAGTTGAGTGGGCTTCTTTTCATTAAAATTATCGGTGAGTACAGAATTAACGATGACAAAACAACATCTGACATGATAATTAATCGGATACATGACATTTAATTAGTTAGCCAACTAACGACTTACCGAATACTGTTACTGTACTAATAAACAGATATCAGAAAAATAAAATGAGCTTTCTGGGTAACGTTCTAACCACGACAACAAGTTGTGCTAACAATTTATAGCAACAGTTAAGACGCGCCTGGTAGCAAGCGGTGGGACGATGCTCATCTTTTTCCATATACACTTCAACTTCGGCTGAGCCAGCTTTTAGTTATGGTGAAAATCGAGTTTGTATTGACGCCTCAATCTGATTTATAAGTGAGACTATTTTTTCATATTCTTCTTTATGGTAAACAGCTAGTGGTAACTTGCTTTGAGTGCCAATGGCTTTTGTGACCGCCCCCTGTTTTCGACAAGATTCACCTTTGTAGAGGAAATCCATTACGATGCATAGCGACGCATTAGTAGCAAAAACAACAAACAGTCTGTACTGCAACTAAATCATTGAAAAATACATGTCCATCTCTTGCCAAGAGGAAAAGTAGAGAAAGACGTACGGGTCGTCAGACCTGTTAACATAATGAGAGTATATATGTAAAACAGGTACATGGCTATTAGCTTCTATAGCTACAAATTCTTTTTTTAACACCGTATATATATGTGCAAACCATCACGTCCGATTATATATGTGCTCCATATTAGAGTTCAGTTTGTGTACTATCTCATAATTTACCACCATTCCAACGTGATCTTCAATACGATTTCAGCTATAGATTTGCTTTCTTTACTTTGTTTTGTTTTCGGCAATATTTAGTTCGCCGGTTAAAACTGGTATGGCCTGATTCAAGCGAAAGATGGGTGGACGAAATTGTATGCACACAATAGGACGCTTTAATTTCCACTATCTAACACGATGTCTTTTCTAAACTGAAATAGGGTTTTCAGCTATTTTAGCGGAGTACCTATAGAAGGTACAGGATAAGATGAAAGTAAGCTCCAGCAAGTCGTTGTTACCACGAAGTGACTGAGTCTCCGGTGTCTTTGCTACATGACATATATACATTAGATGCTTCGACACAAGATACGGGGCAGGGGCTGTTGTTGTTGTTATCTCTAAAGAAAAACCAAAGTCCATAATAAGGAACTTGTTCTTCCGCAGCCACCAAGATTGTTTTTATGATCAGAGGAGGACCTGAAAAATCTGACTGTAGTTAGCCCCCGATTAGAACATATTGAGTATGGACTATTGTTAGCCAAGGATAGCACAGAGCAGGTCCGCGTAACTCTGACCTTCAAGCAACACCAATCGACCATTTGTGTCTAACAAAATATAAACGCTCAACAGCTATTAGAACTCGAAAGTAGTAATGGACAATTGGTATGCTGTGCATTTTGTTTAAAATATACATGATTTTTTTATATATCGTAGGATTGTCATCGTTACTAAATCAACGCAGACATCATTTGCCGCTTAAGCTTCACAAGCTTTGTAGGGGTAAACCCGGCCCAAAAACGACAGGCTTGTTAACAACTTCTTGTACGTTATAGATCTAATATGGAAGTGCTTAAAAGGCATAGCACTACATATGCTGATATTTTTATCTTTTTAAACACACGCTTTTTTAAATTTCGACTCGTATGTTTTAGATTCTATGCGTGTGTGTCTTTTATCCTATCAGTAGCACTGTCAGTGAAGATGGAGAAGAAACCTGGTCGAGAAAGGCATTGCCCGATGAAAGCTGATTAATAGTCGCCATAGCGCAGTTCTGTGTTCGCTCTGATCAGCACGGCTTCGGATACCCCAAGATATTGGGCCTCGCTACAGGGGTTCGCACAAGCTGTTCGTCGTCGTCATGAAAACGAACGACGGCCATTTTTGCATTTGTGGATGAGATCGTCTGCAGGCCACTGCAGACCGACTGATCGGCGACGAGTCGGTCGTCGAGCTGACCGCATACGGCCACTGAATATTGTCCTAGCCATAACAACTTTTGGCGGCGTTTTTAAGAACGTCAAGCATGCGCTTATAGTAGAGCGAATGAGAGCCGTATCATCAGAATACGGCAACGGGCGTGATTCTATCGATTAGATACAATTGAAAAGCATCTGTAAAAACCAGCATATCTTTCCATACGGCAGCAGTCAGCTAGCCATCACCAAACCGAAGGTATCTTAACGCGGACGTTTCATCTAGCGTGAGAGGAACTTGGTAAAAATTGAATATAAAGATCGAATCCTCGTTCCAGATGATGACAACAAACATTGATTGACCTGATCTAGCTCAAGGAAGCAAGCTAATGTTTGTTCCAGATGGAATGATCACTCGAGATTGCTTTAGAATACTACCAATTCTGGCTACCATCATCTAAGTTAACTTGAAGTAAATTATATATATATATACATATATATATATACTGGGACAAAAAACACAAAAATAAGCAAACGGCAAACGTTTTTTTTGCTCGAAATCAATAATGAACGTCATAGTAAAAAAAAAGAATTAGTACTTTTACCATAATCACTTAGAGTACTGAATGGATGCAACAGCTGCAGTGGTAGACAATATCCATCTCACCTACCAGAATAATTATTAAACACAGGAAGGTAAAACTAGATATGTGTACGTAACGCAGACTCTGACCAAGCGCCTTACCCTAGATAACGATGGTTGTGATGAATGTTGCAAGGTGATGATATTTTGTTAAGAAACACTAACAAGACTTCTAACAAGCTTACCTGCATTGCTCTGCTTTTTCCTTTCAGGATTTCAATCATGTAATCCGGATCCATGCCAACACAACGGAGAATGCCGCTACGCTCCTAATGCACAGTCTCGTTGCGTGTAAGTAAAATTCGTCTTCGATATTAGAAACTCTTAGCAAGAGCGTAAACTAAACATCCGATTATTTGCATTGCACAGGTCTAGCAAGGACCCATTTTACATTATCGTAGAGTCCTTTCGACAACGTTCTCTATGTTTGAACACAACTACCAGATGGAAATACGACCCAATTTTTGATTAAATCCTCTATCTGTGCACCCCTCTAAATGAACTATGAAGTCTTCTCCTTGTCACAGTAGTATATTGTCCGTTGCATTAGGACGAGAGTACTTCTACCGGCCCTATCATTGTGACTAATCATGATGACGCTAATGATAAAAACAATTTTCACTCGTCTGCTGCACCGTGGTTATGGTTATGGTAGAATAAGGTTGTGGGACGTCAGACAGTGGAAGATTGATTTCATAGCGTTCATCTTTAACAACAACGCTAAGATACTCTGGTCCGTTTGCTTTTTGTAGGTTTCATATGCACTATTAATGGTTGGTCCTTCGCTGCTGCGGCTGGCCATGTGACAACCTATAATGACCCCCGATATGCCTATACACCTTGTGCACCCATTCGATCTCGTATTGTTTTCATAATTTTTGTTGCCAGGCGTCGTTAACTATACAACCGCGTCTTCTTTAAGCCAGATAAGTCTGCGATTGCGGCGGCAGTGGTGTCCGAGGCAATGGTGCCAGCGGTAGTAGGTTTGAGCAACGGACGCACCATCTGGGGGTAATTCTACTGCAGATTGATCTACCACGCTAACTGTTGTACGACATCATCACAGCACTTACTCTGCTGCTGTTGTTCAAGCAGAAACCGATAGCATTTACCTACCTGCTTTTATCCTTGGCCTTTTCTATCTGCATCGTACCTGAGCTATACTATGAACGTTCCAATTCTTCTCTCTGCTGTAGCCAGGACGGAGTACGAGCATGTCCACGTTGAACCTGGATGGCGATGCCACGATGAGATGGCACGATAGAAGGTTCATCGAGTGCGTGTGATGCTTACGTCTAAACAGCCGTGGACGTTGTTCAACCATAGCCGACCAAACGGACCCCTGAAATATGACGAACTGATGGATACATTAGAGTAAAAGGAACAGAAGCACTTTGGCGTAAAATAAGAGGCAAATAATAAAAGGAAAAGTGCCGAATAGTATCAAAATGGTCTCGGAGCGGAGCGCGGAAAGAATCATTAGATAACGTCTTGTTAGATTCAAGCCACTGGTGCCACCTCAAATGAAAGGGAATACAAAAAAAAGAACTAGAACAGCTTGTTATTGCCGTTATTAACAGTTATTTGCCGTTTACGCCGCATCAGACTTATTAACTAGGTGAAAACGGAATCATTATCCAAATTAGACGCCTATACATATTAGAATAATAAGAATCCTATGCCCGCTGGTAGTATTAGGAAAGATTCTACCAAAAAAAGATGCTATCACTAATTTTATGCGGAAACCATCTACCACTTATTTCTGGAAAGGCGAGACTGATCGCTGATGACCCATTGGTCGACGGGTGTACAGAAATTACGTAATTATCATTCTGTCTATATAATCAATGTCTTGCGTGTCAGTTTAAATCTAGATCGTGCACAGTGGCTACCCAGGTAATTGATGTCATGTGGTCTGTTTCATCTATTTCGCTTTTCTTTGTCCATCTTATCGGGTGTATATATATATATATACACTGTGACGTACATGTCGTAGCAACAATTATTTTTTCTTTTCTCGTATTGTGTATGTGTATGTCTATGGGCATATTTGGGTATCATCAATAACATGATATTCCGGCCTAAGTAGATTTTAATGACATTGCCTGCCGCCACCAGCTGCTCCTCCTACTAATAGAGCGTCGAAGGCTTTCTAGTCGAAACGGCTTGATGCTGTTCCGTTATTGGTTCGACCAGACCCATCTGTGATAAGTACTGAAAACAGTGCTTACCGCAAGTAGGCAAACAAGGCAGTCACTTGCATGTAGCCATGATAGTGAATATTAGTCTTTCAACAACGTTATATACCAGCCAGTCTGTATACATATCGCCATTAGACAATTGATCCCTTCAATAGTGTACCGCTGACTTCTTTCAACGGTCGTCGGTTTATTTGCCTGTTTTATCTCGGCCATCATATCAATAACATAATAACGGCTTCAAGGGGCCGAGGAAATTGAATGCAAACATGCTTCACGAATTCGCGAAGCCTGCGTATATTTACGTGTATCAAGGACGATCGACTAAGTAGCTCAGTATTTAACTGCTGCATTTATAAGTCGAGATAGACTGCGCAATGCGAAGGGGCTAGCCCGCTCCAACGGTTCAAATCACCTAAAATTGCGTGATTTAGGAAATGACTGAACGATAGTTCAGCATTTCGGCATATACACCCGGTTGATATTGCCCTATGTGCTTTATTCGCCTAGCAGCGACAACGATCTCGGTAGCGTAAGATTAGTAGCGGGAAATTCTCCACCGGCCTAGCCGAAATCTTTGGAAAAATCGCCGGATGCGAATCTACACAACCTCTATAGTCCTTGACACAAGGCTTTTTACTCTACGGCTAACTTACCTCCTCAAGTGATGTCCTTAGCATAGGACGCCGTTAGAAGAAGACTCTCTTTTATAGCTTGAACTATAGTGGCAAATCCCGCAACATCGACCTATTGGCTGGCAGTGTTAAATGTTGAAGTGCAGAAAATTCAAAATGACTTGCTTACGTCTGTATAGCGTGTCGTTACTTTCAGGGAAGGTCAATAACGAACGGAGCCCGCCTCACTGTTTGATAGGCATGTGTACACTATACGAAGAAAGCAAAACGTGACAGAAGAAAAGAGTGGAGCAAAGACGACCCTGTCCTTTAGCAGATGACGAAGCCAGCCAAAGCCCTACGGGAGACGGTGGACTTTTGTGCGCTCTACGAGCATTCGCATATAACGGAAGGGTTTATTTCGACAGCAACAAATGACTGAAAAGGCAATAAACTCGCTTAAAAATCACGATTAATTTCCATTGTGGTTTGGGATTACGAGTTATCTTCCCATGACTAAATCAAACAGTTAACTTGATAACTGCCGTTTATTGTCACCCCTCGGGAATAGGCACTGTGTTCTTTGCAATTGAGTTCACGACAAGAGGTCGAATGGCCGGACAACGCAATAGGGAATTCTGTTTTCTCGTCACACACTCAACCTGTCGACGAGAATTCACTCATTACCAGAGTAGTATTAGAATTGTCAGCAATCAGTTTGTTCTTTGTGAACACATAACCGCGCTTTGTTTTCTTATTAGCGAAGGAATAAAGCTGGGAATGACGCTCATTTATATGTCTACCTTAATATGAGGCTTTTTGTGCCTTCCACATTAATTCCGAATGTTCAGTACATACAACCGCCTCTTGAGACATCCTCGGAACTTTCAGTGCGACAGTTATACTGAGTTGGCCTGCCCGTTTCGATCGACGGAAGAACAGAAAAGATCCTATCTCAAACTTCTTGTGGGGTCTTCGGTAGCGGTTTTTCGATACGTCGACGCCAGTGACTGCGGCCACAACAACGGCAGTCGTACGCTACATTTCGAACTGCGTCGAAGCGTTCTTCGTCTCTATCTTATTGCTAACGATCCCTGCAGTAGTAACAGTTCTTGGCTTTGTTGCCATTGTGGCCTCTTAACTCGTTACAAACAATCTGCTGATCACGATGTGATTCGCGCAGTACCTACGATCTTTTTACCAAACGATTACCGCTATTCTTAGCGCTGCTGGAGTGCTATTTAGTGGTTCAAACAACAGCAAAAGAGATATACTTATTTGTGCGAGATAGTCAAGGTAACCGATCGGGATCAATGCTACTGATTTCCTTCACCACGAAGATTCTGGAATGCGTGCCGTGTCATTACCATTGTACTCTGCCCGCGTATTCGACCGCACTATTGGTTTACTTAATGTACCGTTCCAAGGAGCATTTTTCTCTACTATTAAACACGGACATAGTGCTATTGAATGGCTAGAACATCTATCCGAAGTGAATACGCATGTTGACGCGGTGGCTATACTACTAAAAAAAGAGACAGGTAAAGATCGACGGAACACAAAATTTGCAAAAATGGCGCCGTACCATTGTATCAACTCCTTTGTCCTATCGCGCCTCTAGTCGTTCACGATACAAACAATAACAAGGAAACAATGTATGACTGTACAATTTATTACGAGTTAATCGCGACAGTTTGCGATCAATCACTTCGTTCCTATGAGTTTCTCTCGCCGTTGCATCTCACCAGAGCCATTAATAGGACCTCAATATGTTATCAGCAGTACCTATTTCTATGGCTATCGGCGTACCACTGTCCTGGTTAATCGAAAAAATATTGATTTTCGTTTGTGCCTAGAGTGCGGCTATAACCGCATATATGCAACTGCCAGCAGCATCCATGGCCGAAGTAATAGTAACGATACGTGTACTCTATATGTGTGTATTACCATATATTTTTGTTGTAGATAAAAGCGGTCGGTGGACAAACGTGCAGTGTGCCCGATTTTTGAAATGACGATTCTCTCTCGAGGTAACTCGTTTGTGGGAACTGGTAGGGGAAGATCGTGAAATGCCAAGTGGGTGATTGTGTCGCCACAGATTGAACTTTCATTGATTGCAGGTTAGTTAGTTTGTTTGATTTTTCCGTGCATCTTTCGTCTTGTTGGCATAGAGCTTTGTACCTGCTTTCGGCAACCGGCTCGTCAGATAATACGCTAACTTCTTCAAATCTAAAATCCGCAGTAACAGGTATATTGGATATAGAGAAGTAGAATTTACATACTATAAGTTTAGCAGAATACAGAAGTAGAGTAGTGTCGTCCACGAGCATCTGAATCGACCATTGAGTTACGGAACTCCGACTTGGTTAGTGTAGCCATCTGTGTGGGATTATTTTACCAGTGGTCGTAATGCCAATGTTATTAGTATTGAGCTAAAGTAAACAAAATCGAGCTGTTTGTTCCTGAGGTTTATCCTGTT